AATTCAAACTTTAAAAGTTTAAATTTCACACTTTAAAAGTTAAATTTAAAGACAATAATAATAAAAAAATTAAGGCGAGTAGCCTATACTTTTATTAATATTAATTAAATAGTACAAGTTGAGTTACAAATTATTAGTAGAGTATTAAAAAATCTAATCTACACAACCACCTTCTAGGAAAGGTTCTGTTTGAATTAGACCTCGAATTATGATACTCATACTAATAGACATTTAAATTTAATAGTTAATGCTACCAAAGAAATCTTTTTTTAAATCATTTAACATTTCTCTAGTAACATGCTTTGAAATTGGTTGATTAGCTAGTTCCTCCATTGCATCAATGCCGTCGTCACTAAAATCTTGCATTATTTCATCAACGTCATTTTCAAATTTGGTCGGTAAAGGTGGACGACCATAACTCCTTCTCTCGCCATTAATCCAATCTCTAAATAGTACCGATATCTCCAAGCTATCTGCTGCTAATGAATATCTATGCTCTCCAATTTGAAATCTTGTTGCACTAAAAGCGTCTTCCGAAGCTACTGAAGATGCTTGAATAACTAACACATCTCGAGCAACCGGTTGAAGTTTTGGAAATCTCTGGCCGCGATTGCTCCACCATTCTAGAAGATCAATAGTAGTAGGTTCTGTATTTTGATTAATATATGCATCAAAATCATTTCTATCATTATGAGAAAGTTCAAGAATACAATCTACCATATCATCAATATCATCTTCATTATTATATCTATTCCTAGAACTTTGAGGCTCTTCATTATGTACTACATTCATTATATTAGAATTATACAAGTTATACAATTTTCTAGCTTCAATTTTTATCCTTAACATCTTGACAATGTGTTTCATCATCTTCACTATCAATATCCAAATTAAAATATATTTTATCAACCATTCGTAATGCACCTTCATCTTTGTAATGTGGATTTAACAAACAAGCAGTTAAATAAATTTGAGGAATAAGAATAAAATATTTTTAAAATTTTTCAATCATGTTCTTAACAGATTCTTCAAATCTTGGTTTATTTTTGAATTTATAAAATTTACTAGAAATAGCACAAATATTAGGTAAAACAGAGCAAATAGTTGGATAATAAAGTGCAGATATTTTTTTGTAGTTGAATAAAAAACTTTTAAGAATTCTATAAGTTCTTTTATGTCATTCCAATCATTATAATCAAGTCTATATGTCATATTTGAATTATGAGCATTCCAAACCATTTGTAAAGGTTTCCTATATTCATAAGCGACTTCAAGCATTTCATATAAAGAATTTCATCTAGTACACACTGATTCTGGAATTTTTCTAGGTGGAAGATTAAATTCACGACAACGATTTTCAAAATCTCTACGTCTAGACTTAGCTTGACATTTAAAAATAAAATGACATGCAGTTTCAACTTTTGTGCAACCATCATCATACATTTCTATACCATCTCTAACAATCAAATTATATATGTGTGCAGCACACCTAATATGAAAACCATCAATATAAATAGGGCAAAGAGACGGTTTTAGTATTTTGACAACAGTTCTATTATTAGAAGCATTATCTAATGTGACACTACTTATTTTATCACAAATTCCATAGTTTTGTAAAACATCTATAATCGTTTGAGCTATATAACTATTGGTTTTATGCATTTCACAACATTTATAACCTAAAATTCTTTTTTGCAAAGTTCAATTTTCATCAATCCAATGTGCAGTAATAGTGAAATAATCATTACGATTTACACTACAGCCCATATCAGAAGTAATAGCTATTTTACAATTATTATAATAAAATAAACAACGAAGATATTGAAAATGTTGAGCTTGATAATCAAAGATAGCCTTTTTAATTGTACTTCTAGTAAAACCTTTAAAATGTAAATTATACACAATTTGAATATAATGAATAAAATCAGGATTTTCAGCAAAACTAAATGGCAAACCCATAACAACAATCATTTTAGCTAATTCTTCAAGATTTTTTTCTCTACTATATGACCGTTGTATACTAGAACCAGAAACATTAGAAGGATTTAATTGTGTTTGGACCATATTAGAGCCCTTTACTCCTACATTTTCAGGAAAGGTGGTACCATTCTTTTAGTTTCGGCTACAATTTAGCATGCAAAAATTCATTTTAACAACATGACATTAAATGATTACTCAAATGTCCCGTCCCACCTTGTTTTCCTACAGTTTTATGATTCATTTTATGTTTACATTTATTACAAATAGTTTGTGTTTTATCTTCATTCTGAGTCATAAATTGCCACACAACTGATTTTTTAGTGCGTTCTACCTTAGTCCTAGGATGCACGGGGAGAACGGGAGCAGGACAACGAAAGGGAGCGGGAGCCGGGAAAGAGGGATTGGGAGTGGGACTAGTAGCTGACGGTGGCTCAGTTTCATCATCATCATATTCATCAACATTATTATCAAAACTATCAATATAATCATTAACATCATGTTCATCATCTTCAGGTAATTCCTCATCAAAATTACCAAACCTTCTTTGTAAATGTTCATGATAAGGATCTAATCCACTATTACTATCAATATTAAAAACAGTTTCATCAACATGCGTATAATCATTCCTATTTATTCTTAATTGAGAAGTTTTTTTAGTTTTAGATTGAGAAGTACTATCGATTTTATTTTTTTTCTTCTTGGATTTTGAGCTCCATAAATTAGTGATCGAATCAACTATGGTTGTTTTACCCTTGTCAACATTGTTTTTACCGAAATTCATATTCAAATATAAAAAAAGTGAGTAAATTATATATAATACGAAAATATAATGCAAAGTTTTAAACAAATAAATAACTAAATAAGTAGAGACTAATTACTCACAAAATAAATAATTAAATGCAAACAAACAAATAACTAAATGAAAAGTGAGTTGAAACGAATGTACCAAATGTCTACTAAAAAAGTAGACGTTTATGACCGGAAGCCGAAAATTGAAAGTTGAATTTTGAAGCTCTAATTTTCAAAGATCAAATTCGTAATTTTAACGAGAATAAGAGATTAGAGAGTAGAGACTAGAGACAGTAGATGATATTTTTGTGAGTGAAAAGAATGAAAGATTGGGGGTATTTATAGTTTAAAAAAAGGATGAAAATGTAGTTTTTAGAAGGTTGGAGTATTAAAAAAAGTTTGGGGGATAGGGAGGTGTAAAGGGGAGTTATGGGGGTGAAAGACCCGTTGGTGGGCCCAAAACCCGTTGCCCAACGGCTATATAAATTTAAGATTTAAAAAAAAAAAAAAAACGAACCGGACCGGACCGGACCGGAACGAACCGGGACTAACCGGTAAATCCCGGTTTCCGTCCCGTTACCCCTCCGGGACCCGCGTAATACCGGATCTAACCGGTACAAGCCGGAACCGAGACGGAACCGGTAACGGACCGGAACCAGCACCTCCCAGTACGTTGCCAGACTTACACCCCACAGACAGCGCATCATGGAACCAGCTTAGGTCGTTGTGACTTCTATCCATCTCCTTTGGCATTCCTACAGTTGTTTATGCAGTTGTGCCAGAGGTCAGATCACAGGAAGACCTTATCCTTGTGTCTGCACAATTTCTCAATTTGATGTAGAGTGGAAAGTGCCATGAATACTTTCCACAGAAAATCTTTCTCTAGATCTGCATCATCAGAATATAGCCAAAACTTCCAGTATAAGCATGACTTTAATTCCATCTCTTCTGCTGTCATTTATTGTCTTGAATCTTTCTCATGAGATTTTATTGATTTTCATAAATCTGCTGAGAACTGAAGGATTTCTAAATGATGATTATCACGGTGTCATTATACTTGAAAGGCAGATGTACTCACACCCCCATACAAACCACTAATACAAAAGTTATGTCATCTTCTATCTGGGACTAGCAAGAATGTTTTGGAGCTTCTTTTAGCAGGATGAGCCTCCGTTTGGTATCTTAAAACCTCTTCCAAATGATCGCATACCTCAAGCCTAAGTTCTATAGACCCTGTGAGGATTCATCTCTAAGGTCTTCACAGCAGCATGCAAGGCTCATATATAGGACTTCTTGATATATTTGCAAGTTGAATTCAGCGAACCCAAACGGGCTCTAAGCAGGTCAGGAATTAACTAGAAGCATGTCAACATTTTGCAAAACCCTTTCAACAGACTCACGAGTACAAAGGTAACTAGTCCAGGAATAAAAGCTTACATTTGGCTACCACATAAGTCCCTCTATTGATTAGAGTTTAGAATTATAAGCAGCATCCTTCATGTTAATCACTAGTTTTCCAGCATATTAGCAGCACACGGATGCTTCTTTTCATTAGGTATAAAACAGTTAGAACAGTCAGATATGTCAATCCAAATACAGCTAACCTCCTTTTACAAACCCACTCACATTCCCCTTCTAACACCTGCGGTGGACAGCCAATTTCCTTCCTCTGCATACTCTGATATTTCACACAGCTTACTGGCAACTACTTTCTCTGGTTCAAGATGTTTATGAACTCAGTAGGAAGCAAGTATCAATCCAGATAATCCCAAGACATCACCCTTCTCACCCAACCGCTGAGGAAAAACATCTGCTTCAACCACCCATCCGACTCTTCCTGACATATCAGCAATGCTGACCACTGACCCATATTCTCTGTCCATCAACTCAAACCTTTTGAAGACCATCATTAACCAATGCAGTCGCAAGCAAACCAGATTGCTAGAAAGGAAAGACTTCATGTTTGTAACCACTCTGCAGTGGAAATGTAATAGCGCTGGAGCTTTTTCACCCATCTTTGCGGACCATCTCGCTTGTGGTACTCCTGTATGGAGTAAATAGAGCACCAAATTGGATGTTCAATAAATTGACCACATCCAAGAGATCAAAAGTTTTCTCATAAACGCAAGATGAAAAAGAAGTACCATGAAAAGACTGAATCAAGTCTAATGAGAAAGAAGATCAAGTCATAAATCACCTGAACCTTTCTACTGTCAGAAACTTGTAGGAACTTGCACCCAGAAGTAGCTAAGAGATGCTACCAAACAAATATCATATTTCATTCCAAGTGGATTAATGTCCAACAATGAACTCGTGCACATTTCCATTGATATCAATTGAACTGCATCCAGGTGACTTCTTAACACCTAAATCCCTCATAGTTCCTCTGACCTTTGATACATCTTCCCATCTGCCAGCAGATGCATAGGTGTTTGCCAGAAGTGTATGAGTGCTAGAATCATAAGATTCAATCTCCATGAGCAGTTCAGCCACACGTTCACCAACATCAACATTGCCGTAAATTCTGCAGGCACTGAGCAAAGCTCCGTATATTGGAACTATAATCTCATTGTCTCTATTGGGTATCTGAGATATCATTACTTCAGCTTCACTTAGGAGCCCAGCACGACCAAGTAGGTCTATCAAACAACCATAATGTTCTAATTTTGGCTGAATTGCATGAATCCTACTCATTGCATGGAAATACTTGCGGCCTTCTTCTACCAAGCCCCCATGGCTACATGCACTTAACACTCCAATATAAGTGATATCATCAGGGCGAAATCCAGCTTGTTCCATTTCTGAGAACAGTTCTAGTGCCTTCCTAGTGTTCCCGCTCATGGCTAGAGCACAAATAATTGAAGTCCAAGATGCAGTATCTTTCTCTTCTAATTCATCAAATATTTCCATCGATTTTTCTATACAACCACACTTTGCATACATCTCTATAAGGGCAGTACCAACAACGGCAGTAACAGTTATTCTGTTTTCCTTCATGTAATCATGAATCCATTCCCCTTGCTGCAGGGCTCCTAACTGAGCACAACCAGTGAGAAGAGCAACCAGTGTGTATTTGTCAGGTTTAATCCCCTCCATTTGCATCGAACGAAATAGGTCCATTGCATCATCAACACGATTGAATTGCACATACCCGTTAATCATAGTTGTCCACAGAACTAGATCCCTAGCTGGACTCATCTCAAAAAGTTTTCTAGCTTCATCCAATTGACCACTATTAACATACCCCGACACCATACTAGTCCAACATATCACATTTTTCATTGGCATATCATCAAATATCTCCCTAGCCATCATCAAACATCCACACTTACAATACATATCCACCAATGCATTCCCAATAATAAGGCTGAACTCAAGCTCTTCAACAACATATCCATGAATTTCTTTACCAAGTTCCAAGCTTTTCAACGCAGTGCAAGCTGACAAAGTACTCACAACCGTAGCTTCATCAGGCTTAACACCATTTTCCTCCCTCATCTTCTTGTAAACCACAACAGCATCCTGAAACCTACCACATCTAACAAATCCAGAAATCAATACATTCCACGCAACCGAATCTCTCTGAGGCATTTCATCAAACACCTTGTTCAAACTCTCCACATAACCAAACAAACCATACATATCCATAACAGAATTACCCACATAGTTATCAAACAAAACACCAGATTTCAAGACATACCCATGAATCTTTTCACCTCCTTTCACCATTTTCAACTCACCAATAGCTTTAAACACAAATGGGTAAGTAAAATTATCAGGAAACAAGCCATGTATTCTTAATTCATCAAACAAGAAAAGGGGCTTCTTGAATTGACCCGTTTTCACATACCCTTTAATCATTACATTGTACATAAACAATGTTCGGTTCTCACAGCAACTAAAGATTTTCTTGGCGTAATTAAAGTCTGTATCATCATGAGTGGTAAAAGCTAATAGCTTGTGTAAAATGCCAATGTGTTTGTGGAAATTGAGAATGATAACTTGGGCATGGATTTGTTTGAGTTTTGTAATGGATTTGCAAGTCTTAAGAAGCTCAAAGCAAGTTTTAGTTTCAAGTGTATTAGAAATTGACCTAATTGAAGACATTATATTATAGGATTTAGGGAATAGAACACAGGTTGCAAAAGAACCAACTTTTTTCAATAAATAGAAAGGTATAAAAATATTGATTAATTATGTATATTATATATTACTCCCTCCGTCCACTTTTAATTGTCATAGTTTTCTTTTTTAGAGTCAAACGATAATAACTTTGATTAACATTTTACGATGTATTTTTTCATCATATTGATAAGCAAAAAAATTGAAATTTATAGTACTTTTTGTATAATTTTTGAATATCTAAATTTTTTGTTTAAAATATTGAATTAATATAATCTAATTTAACTTTGAAAATTAATCAAATTGACTTTCAAAAAGTGTAACATGACAATTAAAAGTGACAGAAGGAGTAATATAAAGGCAAATGATGGTTTAGTAAATTATACTCAAATTGATATGCCTACGACTATGGTCAATATTTATTCAATTACCGTAGTTCGAATTTTGAGTTTGTTATCCGATTTAACTCAGATTTGTTTATAAATGCCTTTCATGCAATATTATACAAGGTCAATACATTATATATTCTTCTACTTTGAATATGAACATGTCCACAATCATACAATGGAGAAAAGTAGCCAATAACTCCAAAAGTTACATATTCAAAGCTTGAACTCAAAACGGTCATCCATTGCTATTAGCCAACTACTCCAAAGGTTCAGGGGCTGGAGGTCAAGAGAGGAATATCCATCTTTATACTCCTTCCGTTCCATAATAAATGGACATCTTACTAAAAATATTTGTCTCATATATTACTTGATCACTTATTAAATCAAGATAAAATTAATTAAAATTTTCCTATTTTACCCCTACGGTTAATATAGCATTTAGAAAGTTTAAACAAATTTTGAAGATCTAAGAATTTCTTTTTTCAAGAGATTAATCAATACAAACAAAGTGCAAAATAGTAAAGTTGATCAATCTATTAATGATTTCTTAATCACCCTGTAAAATAGAAAATGTCGATCTAATACAAGATGGAGGTAGTACCATTCCTAAAAAGGATGGTTCATGATTTACAGAACTTCTCCAAGTAACAAAAGAAAGGTAGACAAGGAAAAGAACTAGTGAAAGATTTGGCAAAATCTTCAAAACATTAAACAGCAATGATAATTTATATGTGGGGTGGCCATCTTAAACTTTCACCTCTTTGGACCTACATATAATAGAGTCAAAGCTGCATGTTAACTGCAAAAGAAACCTAGAAACAGATCTACATCTGGACTAATAGGATGAAATTTTTCAGGTTTCGATCATGGGCTCTGGATCAGAGGGTTCCGTCTGTGACTTGCCCGACTTACAAACGCTATTGAAAAGAATGTCTTTAATAACCTGAAAACCAAGGATAAACACATCCGACTGTCAAAACATTGCTGGATATTCAAAGAATGATATGCAACTAATGTAAGAATACAACAGTGTATACCTGAGACATTAAGCCATGAACTTGCTCGACAGTAATCTTAGCACTATCACGTGTAATCTTAGCAAGCTGAGATTCTTCCTGCAAGTCAAAGGACCAACACGTTTAGTACCATGAATGTTGTATTCTGCAATTTACTGAAGCAAGTATAAGTAAGGAAGATAAAAAATAAAGGACAAAAGACTACAGAAAATTGAAGTAAAAATATGATAGCATTCAATGCATAGTCTGGAGTTGCAGGTCAAGACTAGGTAACTATGGCATAATCAAGCCCAATAGCGCAAATACAAATAGTGAAGTGAAACACTATGGCACATCATTACCTACCGCAGTAAATTACTGATGTTATGCTTCACAAAACATACATGAAAAGGGTATTGAAGTACCAAGAAAGTGAAAGGCTTCACCTTGGTACTTCTATCAAGCTCATCCCTTTCTACAAGTACCCACAATTACTCTACTTCTTCTCGTACCCACTATCTATAACAAACCTCTCACATTTCTTTATTGGGGCATTTGCGCATCCCCTCTTCACATATCCAAACCATCTCAATCTCACTTCCCTTCCCTGATCTTGTCCACCAATAAAGGTAACATGTAACAAATGGACGAAGTAGAAGATACTACCCAAGTACTAAACAAGAATACTGCTAGTAGGAGAAATGGGGACTAGCCCCCCGCCTCACCCACCTAAAGGTGCTATAACACTACTAACCTTCTACCTTAATTCTCAACATCCTAACTTTCCTTTCTGGTCCACATTAAGCCGGAAGTGTGCTATGTCCAGCGAAATCACCTATGCCCCTGTACTTCTTTGTCCTGCCTCTAGCACTCCGACATCCACTATAACCAACCTCTCACGCCTCTCGGATTCTGTAACTTCCACCACCACTAATTTTGAACAAAATGGTTACATGCCTACTAAAATATGCTTTGGAAATGGGGGGAATAGAAATGGTCGGTTCAATTGTTTTTGGGATCTACTTTCCTCTGTATAAATATTGCATGTGCAAAGGGAAGTGGAAAGAACACATGAAGACGGAAAATCAGTGCCCAAGGCACAAGACTGGTTTACCAAATAAGTAATCACAAAGTTTATCCTCAAAATTTCACTAGGTTAGTTGCTACCATAATCATAGGGTTTTTGTTTTCCACTCATTTGCCTTTGACTGCTTTCTCATCACTTATATGTGTCTGCTCCCCCCTCCTACCCCCCAAAGAAAAATCTCAAACCCCTAATGTAACGACGAAAACACAGGCACCTGTTGGTTTTAAACAAAGAAGTTCAATAATGATGGCAGGTCCCCTCTTTTACACCTAGTTCTGGTTCACAGATCCAAAATTTGGCAAGTGATTATTTTTCACCACTCTTACTTGACAAAAGTCTTTATTACGCAGGTTTACTATAATAGAGGGCCAAACCATTCATAGCTAAGATGAGATCATATTGACTCATTATCATAATGAACTAGTTTTTTATTAGGGATGTTATTTCACACACATTCACATGGGAATGAGACTTTTCTCTGTCCATTATACCTTTCTTCAATATCTTCTGTTAAAGTAGAAAGAGAACTCTTCATTCATACAATCTTGGCCATTTCTCCATCTCATAAGAGATTCAAGCACAAGCTATTGCTGAGAGTTGTATGAACCTAATCCATAATCAAATCGATTTTCTTCTTGTATTGCATTACTTTCTCCTAGTTGAACTTCATAAGCACGAATTAGGTGTTCCAGTATATACGGTTTTGCAAACTCTCACCATTTAAAAGAGAAGAGAAAAATCAACATGTACAATTGGAGGCAAATTTATATCTAGTTCCCTTTGTATATCCTTGCACATTTTAATTGTAAGCAGTTTCATAGCCCAGTAAAATATAATCAAGAGGCCTAGTATGCTATAAGCTACAAAGTTTCAAAAACAGCCACTCTGTGAGCACAAAATATTACCTAGGTTCATAATGTCTAAATAGGAATCACATGTCAAAAAGATTCAAAGATAATGGTTCAACAAACACAAGACTTAAGAACTGTCAAACTAATGTTCTCTTTTTTCAATTGGTCAAACTAATATTATCAAACAAAGAGATAGACTTGTAAGTTAGAGTATGCATTGTCAAGACTTAAGAGAAAACAAAAAAATACCTCCTTCTTCCTTTGAGGGGCTGCCACTAAGGGCCCAAAACGTGAATGGGGCAGTTGATTTTCAGCTTGCTCCAACTTTTCAGCTGCATGAGTTAATGGGATCAACTAATTTTGAGGTGTTTCAATATTGTGTAAACTCATGTCCAGGCATCAAATCATTATGATGATAAAAAAAAGTGGAAAAGGTAGGCAACAATGATATTACCAAGATCAGATATCTGTCCAGCAACATAGTCTCCATTTCCAAGCAAAGGAGAAGAAGAAAGTGTGTTCACCCAATACTTGTTCCATAGTAGGTCCAAGAGATGGCAATCGAGAGAGGACTTAAAATACGTAACATCCAATGAATAATACTGCAAATTAAGAGAAAAGTTGGTGAGTTAACAGCCAAGAGTAAAGCTGAAGTCCTAGATTTAACATAAATATGTGAGTGCATGCGCTCATGCCAATAAGCTGACCTGCTTGCAATGTACTCCAAAGTCTTCGATTTTGTTCAAAGGAATGGTCTGGTACTCTGAGATAGGGTCATCTGGAGGCTTATATCCTTCAGGATATGTTCGAAAGGCACCAATCTCAACTTTACCAGCAGAAACAGTTCTTGTTGGATCAATAACAACTGCAAGAAAGGGCTCCTGATACTGCTGGTTAAGCATTTGTGTAGTTACATCAATGCCAGAGAGCCAGCATCCATAGCCAGGATGAGAATGGTACCACCCGACCACATTCTCCAGCCGACCAGCCTATACCATAAAGTCTTAGTAAGAGAATGGTCTGAACAAACTACTGGGACAAGCACACTCCAATTCAGAAAACCAATCCACACACAATGTATACATCCTATATAACATTGTCTACAGATAAAGTATAATCAGCTCAAAAGAATTTCTAGGTGCAGCAAGATTGAATTTTGTGACTTGAGGAGGATTTTTGACCTGAAGTTACTAACAACTGAAATTATACATATGTACAATATATATAGAGACTCCAAGACTATGATTATAGAAACACACATGAAGCAATAGATCAACCGAAAGAATTAACTTTTTGCTAATGATTCTAAAAATCTACATACGAAACTTGATTTTCTTTCCACGAGGCTCAAAATAGGTAACTAGTCAATGCAAACTGGCCCGGACACCAACAAGAACAAAGCTTCAATTTCAATCAATTCTATCAACTCACCGTCTTGCCCCTTTTGAACCCGTTTACAATATTTATTAAATCCGAAAAGTCTCTGTAAACTGACTAGTTTAGCGCTAGTGTACCCTTCTCCATTATCGACACCACAACATCAAAAAGAAGAAAAAAAAGTGATAAAAGGCATTAACCTGCTTGTTGGTCTGTGAATATTCAACCATGTATTCATACGCATCAGCTTGAGCATTAACCCTAGTTTCAGTTCCTTCAACAGGAAGGGCAAAAGCGTCCATAACAATAATAGCATCTCCATCCGTCTTACCTTGCATTAGTCCCATGACCTCAATTGTACCTCCAGAACGCGCGTGAACAACCATCTTTAGAAGAGCAAGAGCAGAGATCTTCACGCGCTTGAAGTAGTGAGGGTCACTCGTCCATGGTTTTTCCCGCTGGAACTTAGTCTGTGCCGCATCGTCGTAGTGGAATATGGCATCTGACGCTGAGTTTTCCGGTGCCGACCCCGACGACGCGTCCATTGTCACGATGTTGTTCTCTAACTCCCAGGTTTGTTGTGCCATCGCCGCCGACGATGCGTAAGAATTCAGAGCGTCCATTGGGAACTGAACTCCGGAGAAGAAAGCAATTACAGAGCTCTCTTCTCTGATTTTATATGAAGTGAAAAAATCACAAAATTAATTTAAAGAATTAAGAAAAAACCTTGTTATATAATTTAATTTTACATAGTATTTTAAAAATTAAAACTACACATTTAATTTCTTTGTACAATGGAAATTATGTACAGATATTAGTTTATATAACAAGGTTGTTAAATATATTTTTTTAAAATGAATATATTTATAGGTAGGGATATTTTATGGATTGGAATATTTTATAAGATTAGTTAATTTCACCATTTTTAGTCCAAATAATAGAATAAAATAAGTTCGGAATTTAGTTTAATTTAGGGCTGTTTGGAAAATCACCTAGTAATTGAATTTGGTGTAATTGAGTGTAATTACATTGTTTGTCCTGTTTAGTTGAACATATAATTACTTGATATGGACAATTGAATTATGATATTGAACTTTATAAGACCACATTTTTTCAATTTCCTCATAATTTAATTAAGTTTATCATCTTTCATCTCTCAGTCCTTATAAATGAGGTATGGAGAAAATATATACAGATGTATCTCTATTTCGTAGAGATAGAAGAGTTGTTATTGATAGATTCTTGATTTAAAATTAAATAAAGCATATTCAAGTTATTTGGAAAAAAAAAGGATATACAGACATAAGGATATTAACAACAACGAAATAATGTGGAATAAAGAGTTGTACAAATATACATAAGAATGAATAGTATGTCAACAATATAATGTGATATTCAAAGCACAAAAACACATATGATACCCGATGAACAAGAAATTGTGAGAATATTATTGCTAATACCATTGATAAGAAAGAAGTCTAAGTAGGACCACCACGCATATCCCGCAGGAAATTAAAGCCAAAGATTAATTATAATAGAATTATTTATAATGTTCATTTATTTTCTTAATAAATAAACTAGTAGTACGTTTTTACAAAATTTTCTTCAAACAACTTTACGATTCTGTTTCAATTGTTGAAATGAGATGTGGAATAATTAATGCAAAGTTAATTTTGTTGTAACATTCAATATTTAATACAAATTTTAATAACGTAATGTGTTGAATTAGTACTAGTAGATAGAATATTTATAAAAGGCAATTTTAGTTCAATTGCTCTAATTGTTGTAATTAACTTACTATATAGCTTTGAATAGGATTAGTAAATAAAAATAAAATAAGAGATACCACAATATGCATTTTATTATAATTTTGCTACTTTTTGTTATTGGAGTTTTGATGAACTTAGTAAATTCAGAGAGATATATTGTTGGAGAAGGCTATGGTTGGCGTCCTGCTCCTTACCCTACTTACTATGAAGATTGGGCTACAACTGTCAAGTTAAAACCCGGAGATCAATTAGGTAAACTTTAATTTTTCGTATTTGCAATTTATTTACATACTTTGAACAAATAAAAATTTGTGGGGTGCAAATGTAGCGTCTATAGGGTTTCTTATAATTTTGATATGCTATTTTGGGAGCCAAAGGCGAGTGGTGGCGGAGCCACAATATGGGGTGTCGACTGACACTCCTTCGTCTGAAATTACAGTGTGTAGTTAGGTAAATATATGTTTTTTATGTATATATATACATATAGACACTCCTTGGCTTCTATGCGCTTTAACTTCTTTATGTTTTGACACTCGTTAGTCGAAATTCTAGCTCCACCACTGGCTGTGAGGTAAGTTTTTTTTTCCGGAGTCGATCGTGCTTCCTTATTTGCGAGAATTTCCTTCCTCCGGTGTTGTCTTCTCACCAAGCACTCTTCTTGTCATTTCAACCTTTCCTCATATCTAATTTGGCCCGGAAGTTTTTCTTTAGCCGTGTTTGGAAGGATTAAAGGTATTGACTAATTTTAGGGGTGTACATAGATGGTTCTTTGGTTCGTTTTTTTCATTTACCTAATCAAACCAACTAAATCGGTTTTATAACTTCATAAACCAAATCAAATCAATAAAAGTGTTGATTTTGTGGCGAAGGGGTGTCAATTCACTCTCTTTGGACAAGGATAGCTCTACCCCTAACATCTTAAATGTGTACTTTGGACATGATTCGTAACTTTGTCTTTTAGAAAGTTCATTTTTCGTGTACATATATACGTATTCATATATGAGTATACCATTTTATTTGTAGAGTTTAGATTCCAAAAGCCAGAGGATTTGCTAGAGATTGGAAAATACAACTATTATGCATGCAATTCCAACATTCCTTCAAGGCAGTACAAAGATAGTCCAGCAATAGCATTCATGTTGGTACCTGGAGATTATTATTTCAAATCCAGCAACAATACTAATTGCATCAATGGCCAGAAGCTTTATGTTAATGTAGCAGCTCCAATTGAAGATGATTCTGATGATAAGATTTGAGATAACTAGCTAAGCGCATCTTTCAAAGTTAGACAATAATAACCGGTTAATGAGTTCAGTTTGACTGTGGTCTTATTATATGTATGCATACATTTTCTTGCTTTTGTTTTTGCACACATATAGTTTGAGTCGAAGACAATAAGTTCAGTTGAACTCACAAGACCTGTCGTAGCTATACACCTTTTACTTGTTTCAGATGGCGGAAGAATGCTCATGGAGACACTCTCTCACTGTTTTTTTTTTCAATGTGAACTCTGATATGTATTACATGTGGACTTTGCTGTGTATTACCAGAAATATTTGCTGCAACAACTAAAAACCACACTAGCTATTACTTTCACAAGACAGGGAGTTCACATAATATGTTATATGGGGGTGTTTAAACAGAAATAGTCCTTAAAGTACAGAAAAGTGATCCTTTTAGTCCATATCTACCATGTAATCGAAATAGTTCTTAATGTATGAAAAAGTGATACATTAAGGGTGGTGGCGGTAGGAAAAGGGTCACTTTTTCTACGATTACGAGGTGTATATGAATGACTAAATTAGTCCAACCCCATACATTAAGGACAATTTTGATCATTTAATTGATAAACAGATGTTAAAGAAGAGTAATATTGTCTAACATAATGTATTAAGTCTACAAAAAAACAAGTGTAGTATCAATGTTTACAACCTATCTGGTTGTGAGCAACTAATATCAACATTAACAGCTTCTCCTCCACCAAATCAGAACATCTGATCTGTGAACAAGTCATGCAGATAAAAAATGTCTTCATCGTCAACGGGAGATTAGCTGAGGGAGTATCAATTTTAACAACCTATCTGGTTGTGAGCAACTAATATCAACCTTAACAGCTTCTCCTCCACCAAATCAGAACATCTGATCTGTGAACAAGTCATGCAGATAAAAAATGTCTTCATTGTCAACGGGAGATTAGCTGAGGGGGCAAAGGGAGGTGACTAAGCAGGAGCCGCCCCTGCAGCTGCATATATAACCAGACATTCCTCTATGAGCAGTTGGTGCTTTCCCAACATAAAAAATGGAACTGATATCATTATCTTCGTCCATGGGCTCAGTGACTAATGCTCCTTTTTCACCTCTTCCTTACCTATAGGAAAATCTTCTCTTATGTCCTTCACCCCCTGCCTGGAAACAAAGAATGTAGAAAAAGATAGAAGGAAAAAGAAGTAGACAGAACTACCTTTGCCAAATGATTATTTAGCTATTCAGATGACGAAATTCGCTTATAACCAACTTCAACGCGATCTTTTCTTGCGATGCTGTTACTTTTTTGTCAGGTGATGGAGGTCAAAAATACTTTTAGTGCTCCTCACTCAAATGTAAAGCCTTCTAGGAAAGTAGTTGGAGATAGAAGTCAATCACTAACTCACACTTGAGCATTGTTACAGAAGGTTGAAAAAGATTGAGCTGCTAAATCTTCAAAAGATGAAGTCAGTTTCCATTTGTACAAACAAGAAACCAGGGTGTTAAAGCATATATCTTGAACACTTATATTATTCTAGTTCTTCACCGGACAATTTGGATGTTATTGAATGTTAGAATCTGAAATCTTTAGATATATCATATCACCCCATGTGGACATGTGATGGAATCTTGAGCACCTTATTTCTAGATCTCAATTCCAAAACGTCTTGAAGATTAAGGACGATTCGGGTGGCACAAGGAAGATTGATGCTCCAAATTTGGTGTCGCTAGAATATACAGGATGTCTGATTCTTGAACTGAAAGTTGCAAGAGAGTCAAGACAACTGAAGCACTCAAAAATAGATTTGCTTTGCCACAATTTATATTTGGCATGGCTTTGTAAGTTGAACAAATTTCTATCAAACTCGGCCTCTTGGTCTCAAGTTTCCATTCATTTTGACAAAGAAATTAAGTTCGGCGGGCACACACAGTTGTTATACCCCAGGCTGAGTTGACATTTTAGATATAGAGCCTCATCCGAGGAGACCTAACCTGCAATCATCAAGTGGAGTGGTTACAGTTTCATGAATCGTTTGATGTATATGAAGAATTTGAGTCAGTCTACTTCCCATGAAAGCAAACCTAGCCATTGACAATTAAAAGAAGTAAAAGCCTACAAATTTGATCGGAAAATACTGTGGAACTCAGAATTAATATTATATTGGTGATGCAGTTAAGACCAAATACACCTATGAAGATGTACTCTATCACCTAGAAATATAATAATATATGAGATACGAAGCATATTATGAAAGCATTTGCATTCTTTACCTTTTCTATCGGACGGAAGGTTTTATAATAAGAAAGAAGAGTACAAAGAAGAATACCTTTCTCGGCCTTTTGGCTAAGATCAAGTGTAGTATCTGTTCTTATCAGTTTAATATCTGATATGTGGGCCATTGGTCCACACGATATTAACTCAATTTTTAAGGGGAAGAGTCCATTAAGGTAGTTTGCTGCCTGGGCTCTTGCGTGTCGCCCATGCGTTGCACTACTGCATGGGCTTGGCGTACCCCACCATTTTGTGTATGATTTTATCTCAAAAAAAGAGTACAAAGAAGAAAACTATTCATCTCAAGATAAGAAAAAATTATATCATTGAGTATATATTTTTGTTCTTCTAAGTGATGCAAAAAAAAAAAGATCTATGGCCTTGTACCACATAATGGAAAAGAAATCATGTCAATCCAACATATGTTATCAAAAGAAAAAACCTATATTCCCTTGTAACACAATCTAACCACTTAAAACTAGGGAATGTGCT